GATGAAGACAAAGAATCCACAGCCAGACTGTCCATGTGTAAATCTCAGCTCTGCAACTTACTGGCTCCATGATCCTGGGTATGTTACCAAGCCTCTAAGTGCCTCCATGTGCTCATCTATAAAATAGGATGACAGTAAAAGTACCTACCTCATAGAGTTATTGCAAAGATTAAATAAGTTAATATGCACTGAGAAAGTGTCATTGCTACCTAGAAAACTCCAAATAAGCGTTTGTTATTATTATGCACAGTGGCTAGGAGCATGGCCTTGATCTAGTGTCCAGACATCCAAGCCCCTGAATGACCTTGGACAAGTTACTTAATACTGCAGTGCCTTCATTTCTTTACCTGAAAATGGGGATAATAACAGATAATAAAGGCTAATAGACATAGAGGCAAAATGCTTCAAGGAGTCCCTGGCACACAGTAAGGGCTTAGTAAATATTAGCAATGGATATTATAATCACATTATAGAGGCTAAATCATATTCATGTCTCCTAAATATCAAATGAAATAAGACAAATACATCAAATGAAAAAAATGATGTATCTTCTTTCACCAGCATGGACAATAACTTAAGGTCACATATTTTTAGTAGTAACCTGACTCTAAACATCTATTCTGCTTATCATGAGAATGTTTTTCCTTTTCTGGGTCCCCATGTCATGGTAAGTCCAGGAACCCAGGAACTGTTACTCAGTCTGATCAGTTCCGATGACTATTTCCTGCTATAGGAAGGCCACTGCTACTCTTGCAGTGGGCCCTTAGGGTACTGGGTCAGAGAGCTTCTGGTACCAGTTCCCCCTTTCCAACTTGTTGAAAACACTGAGTCCTCTTTCTTACCTCCCTAAAGCAGGGAGACTGCATGATTCAAGCAAGACAATCATAATAACCAAGAATACATTTTGTAAGTCCCAATTACTCAATTGTAAATAACAGCATAATAACAAAGATGACTAGAAAACCCCCAAATACTTGGAAATTAAGCACCAGTTAGAAATAATCTATGAGTTAAATTAGAAATTGCAACAGAAATTAGAAAACACCTTAGATTGAAAATAATAATGATAATATGGCACATCAAAACCCTTGGGATATAGCTAAAGTGGGTTTAAAGTAGTGTTGGAGAACCTTTACTACTGGATATCATGATTTATTATTATATTAAAACAGAATACAAATACCTGAGATAGACTACTTGGGCATTTTATTGGTGACAGAAGTCATACTATACAGTAAAAGTAGAAAGAAGAGTCTTTTCAATAATGGTGATTTAGTAATAGCATAGCCATATAGAAAAATATATTTTGATCTCTACCTCACACCATACACAGAAATCAATTCTAGGCGGATTGAAGATTTAAATGTAAAAGATAAAACAAAGTTTCCAGGTCATAGTATAGGAGGATATGCTAATAACCTTAATTTTTTTTAATGAGAATACAAACAACACTAATCTTAAAGTTCAGAATTAGATTATATTAAAATAAGGAATTTCTTTCATTAAAGGACACTCTTAAATGAAATAGTATAATATCTGGTTTTTCTTTAAAATAACTGAGTGGTAATGGGAGGGAGCAAGGTGGGAAAGAAGTGAGGGAACATAGGTGAAACAAGACTGGTAATGAATAATCGTTTTTGAAGCTTCTATTTATGTTTGAATTTTTCCATAAATAAAAGTTTAAAAAGGAGAAACGCTATTAAAGAAGAAAAAGAAACCAGAGTGAAAGAAGATACTTGTATTACAGAACTGGAAAAGGGGCCTATACCCAAAATATATATAGAATTCCTACATTACAATAAGAAAAAGACTGAACATGACAAAAAGATGATTACACAAGTGGGTGCACTTTGCAATGACAACTATTGAATCATATCCTTGGGATTTGTGCAATTTTTTCTGTTTGTAAATTGTACTGCAATAAAAGGTGACCTTTTATCATGGTTCTCTACCATGACCTTTACACAACAGAAGAGGAAGCAGCTGTAGACAGCTCTGCATATTCAAGAAAAAGTATAAGGTAGGCCAAGAGATGGAATTTTGCTAAATGAAAAAGTTATTTTAGTGTAATAGATTTATGGATGAAAATTTTAACATCTTGCTTTAATTTGGTTGTTACTATAAATAAAATTTAGGTAGGAGGAAAAAGTAATTTAGTGTTTGTTCAAATACACATAAAAACTAGAGATGCAGGCCCTTGAGTTCTGTGTCAGGACTCCAGCAATTTCAGACAGAAAAAAATTTTCAAGCTGGTGTTATAATAGCCTCCTAAAGGTCTTGCTCAAATACCTGTGAACTTCTAATATTGAACAATATAATTTCCAGGCACCACCTCCCAAGAAAAAAAAACTGTTGCAATAAATATCTAAGTAGTTGAATGAGGTAATCAACTATAAGGCAATTAAATATTGGGAGAAAACTACCAATAATAACTTTAGTTTCCAAAGAGTTACCCTTTCTTTCCTTTTAGAGTTGAATTTTTTTTGAATTGAGGTATGATTGACATATAACATTAACTTCAAGTGTACAACATAATTATTTGTATCTATTTCACAATGAGTCTAGTACTGTCATCACTACACAGTTACATATTTTTTTCCCTTGTGATGATAACTTTTAAGATAAACTCTCTTAGCAACTTTCAAATAGGCAATATAGTATTCTTAACTACAGTTGCCATGCTGTACATGTATCCTTTCTTTCTAACAGTGTTTAGCCAGTGAGGGTCAACAACTTATTAAGGGTGTTCTGAGTTCTCACAAAAAACTATGTCATCTACATGTAAAAGATTATCTCTCTTTACTCTACAGTGGGATGCAGTCCACATCTGGTTAGGAGAGTAACAAAAATTTTTGAGATGCTAAGTTCTCTGTTCCTTTGATGGGAAGATTTTGGGTCAGAAAAGGGTTGGATTTTGCTCCTTATTTTGGGAAATATTTGCCTTGCTATTGCCTTTGTAATAAATAAACTTCTAGTTTACATTTTATGAATTATGATGTGTCCTTTTTTTCTCTCCCTTTTTAACCTAGTACCATAATATAAAGATATCTAACATTGGGTACATAAGGCTAGATGGAAGGAAGGGCTTTACCTCATACTAGAGGAATCCTGTCTTTACCTGCGAATGGCCACAAAAGCTATCTTATTATGCTTGGACTTGTATGAAGGACCCAAGCAGGATCTATAAACCTAACACAAAGAGTCATGTGTAATTAGTGTAACTTCGAAGAGGGATATTGTAATTCTCTTCCAGTATCACATTTATTTTTTCCTAATTTAATTGTCATTTGATAATCTAAAATCCTTGGAAGTTTGAAATGGCTCTTCCTTTCCCCCCTTCTCTGCCATGACCTTTATACAACAGAAGAGGAAGCAGCTGTAGACAGGGAGTCAGAGAGGGCAGGCTCCCACTTGACGTTACTGCTTGCTGGTCCATAGAGGCTACTTAATCTCTTTGAGCCTTGGTTTCCTCAGCTCTGCATAGTAATGTCCCCTGTTTCAGAGATATTACATTTTGAAAAGTGTAAAAGAGAATGTAAATATTGGCCAACATCATCATATTAGTAGTAGTAATGGTTATCTTTAGATTGTGTTCTAAATATAAAAAATAAAAGCATTTAGTAGTGATACTTAGGCTTGAGAAGAATACAGGGAAATGAGGTCAGAAAGATTAAGGAATGGGAAAATAAACACACCGGTAATTATAAAAGGATTAAAAAAGGCAAAGTTGCAGTTTTAAGAGGTCAGTGCAACCTTTTAAATTATTTTTCTAATTATATCACACATCCTCAATCTTGATGTAGTAGACATGTTTTTTTTTTCTGCCTTGTAACCTGCGTTCTTCTAGCAACAGTACAGTCTTTCTGCTTTTCCCAAACTCCATGGTTTTCTGGGCCAGGGCGGGGGAAGGGGGCGGAGGGTAAATGCCGCTTAATCACGTTACTCTGTTCAGCTGGTTAGGAATGGGGATGCCCAGGGATTTGCAGGTGACCCAAAGAAGGAAGCTCAGTATCCTTTCTTGAAATTGTTTATATGGATCCTCATAGGGGGATATCTCTTTTCTTTAGAGTACTAAATGGGATTTTACAAAATTTGGAGCTCTTTTGCTTGTACAATAAAGAACTACATCCCCTCATCCTACTTTCATGCTGCATTAGAGATATGGTGATTGGGCACTAAGACTGTCTTTTGAGGGATTTGGGCCCATTTCTACCATACCTTCACATTTTTCTTCTAATCAACACATTTGTTTACTAGATAATGGAGTTCCCGACCGTTAACATATATTAAAGGGCTCTGGAATTTTTTGAAAAAATGGGTAACTTGAAGTAAAAGAAAATCTCATGCACACACTTGCACTTTTTTTTTTTAATACCAAGTCTATTTAGTCAACAGTGGCATCTCTAGGTACATAAAATACTTGTCATCACCAAATTTCTAATAGGTATTCAAATTCTCTAAATTGTCTTAAAATTCAAACAATGGAGAAAAATTTTTCATCATCAAGCACACTGGCTGGTTAAATTTTACCTCTTCAAAATAGGTATTTCCTTGACACCATGTCTTGCCAATGGGTTTCAGCCCCGGGCAAGTTCACTATGGATTCAGTGTGACCAAAGAAAATGACAGCAAAACGTTCTTGGGGTGAAGGGTTATACCCAACTTTATTTCCAGGTGGCAGGTCAGTCACTAAAATCTTGTCACTCAGAGCGAGTCTGCATACAGCATGTCGGTCTCTGCCTCTGGGCCTCTCTGTCTGCCCAGCCGTTCCGCACAGCCATCCTCTGGGCCTCCGTCCTCTGCTCTGCTCTCCTGCAGCCTTGCAGCTGTGCCACCATGTTGTGTCCAGAGCACTGGGCAGAGCTCTTTTTATAGAGTCAACAGCCATGTATTGCCCACAGGTGTGCAGTGAGCTAGTCAGCCACTGCCAGGTGAGAATCCTGGCCACAGGAACTCTCATTTTATCCATACACCGAAACACATTCACATGAGCAACAAAATTTAGAAATTAATTCAAAATCTCTTTATGGGCTTTACAAATACCAGATGAGGTTCTGGTCATGAAATCATGGGTAAGATAAGCATAATAGCTTTAAGTTACCCTTGGACATTAGAACCCCAAGGGGAGGAATGACAAAGGTAATATGTATGTTGATTTTGCTGCCTTTGAGGTCTTTGACTTGGTGGAAAACAAAAGGACACCACTGTTTGATTTGCCAACATCTAATAAAATATTGAAAATGTGTAAGGCAAATGCATTGATATATTTACTTAAATATGTTTATCAAAAATATGTGTAGCTTTATTTACAACTAATATCCTTATCTTTGTCCTATATGCCCTTGTTTGTTCTCAAGTACAATCAAGGACAGAATCAGCCCCTCTAGGTATAAATGAATATACACTTGGCCCTTGAACAACGTGGAGGTTAGGGGCATCCACCTCACCTCAGTCAAAAATTCACCTATAACTTTTGAGTCCCTCAAAAACTTAACTGCTAATAGCCTACTGCAGACCGGAAGCCTTACTGGTAACATAAAGTCAATTAACACATATTTTGTGTATGTATATTATACATTGTATTCTTAAAAGTAAGCTAGGGAAGTTAGAAAAGTGACAAAAAAAAAAAGCTAGGGAAAATAAAATGTTCTTTCAAATTGTTGCAAATTTTCAAAAAACTTTCTAATATATTTACTGAAAGAAATCCTTGTATAAATGGACCTGCACAGTTCGAACCCATGTTGTTTCAGGTTCAACTGTACTTTGTTTGGACTCAAATATAAAATAATTAAAACATTGGTACCAACAACTCCACAACTTTCTTTTCCCAAAGAGGAGGTGCCAAAGGCTGAGGAGTTTGAGACTCTTTTAGTCATGCATCATTTCCACCCATCTCATCAGATAAATGAACAATCTAAGTGATTCACAGACTTGCTAAGCAAGCTCAGCATATTGACAAGTCCCCTAGACCCTTTCCCCCCGCCAACCAGACTATTATCCTTAAGGTCCTCCTAGAGTTAACACTAATCCCAACCATAGCAACACACTTTTTCAGATCCCCGCCTTCCCTCTCTTAACGGAACTACTGAGTCCAAAACCAGGTGTCTTTTTTCCCCCAGGTACTTATTATTCTCACTATACTATTATGATCTTGAGAAGTTAAAAAAAAAAAGTCTCCTGATCAACCACTTTGCTTAAGAACTTCAAAGAATTAAAAACCTCCACCCTCAGGCCGTCCACTTTTGCAGCATGCTCCCTTCCTCGTTTTGCTTGTCGTACCAGCACTGGGTAAGCGCCTAGGTTCCATCTCGTACTAAAACTCATGATCTTCTGGCTCAGATTCTGTGAACTGAGTCATTCTGGCACGGAGAATATTCCGTGACTCAGCAGGCCCGAAAAGGAGGATGTCAGATCCAGATAATTTCGAGTCTTTTAAAGGCAAGCTGGAGAACATAAACAACACAGTGGAAGAATTTCGCAGTAGGTTTGCATACTCAGGGGAAAAATGTCATTCCATTCCCAGCCCTTTCACTTCCTTCCCTGGCCCTGTTAAACGAATGCTTACATTTTAATTTAGAGGCAGGAAATTGTTGAGAAAATCCATTTTGATGCTCTGAGATCAGGCCCTTTATTCTCCGGGGACGTTGTCAGCCCCTGGACACCCCGACCTCTCCTGGGAAAGGGTCGGCTCTGGGCCGCGCTGCAGGGGGCGTTCCCCGCGGCTGCCGGCTGGGGGGCACGGAGCCTGCGGGCGGTCCCGGCCCCAGGGCGCGGTCCGGCAGGGCGCTAGGACTGACACCTGGCGGGGAGGTGATCGGCGTTGCCACGGCTTAGGGTGGCGCGGGACTCAAAGCGCGACCCAAAAGCATCCCGCGGGCCCTTTAAGACCCCTGCGGTTGCCCCCTCCGCCATCCCCGGTCCGGAGTCTTCCGGGGACGCGGAGCCAGGGGACCCCGGCGTCCAACTTCTGCAGAGCGCCGGCTCTTGGCAGCCTGTCCCTCCCTCCCACTCCTCCCCCCAGGCCCGCTCCCCGCCCACCCCTCGCGCCCCTCAGGCCCCACCTTCGCGGATCGCGCGCCGCGGGCCCGAGCACGAGCGGCCACCGCCCCCGCCGTCTCCGGGGCGGACGCGCAGTCCACAGCGCGTGGAGGGCGGGGGATCCGCTCCGGGGACCGCGGTCGCTGTTGAGAGGAGGCCGGGTCGGGCTTTCTCCTCCGCCAGACCCCACCCCACCCCACCCTGCCGACCCCACCCCCTGCCCCTTCCTCCCGGGGGCGCGCGCTCGGGCACGCGCTCGGAAGTCGAGGGTCGGCGCGGAGTGCGGGCCGTGGCTGGGTTTCGTGAGGGAGGCACGGAGGCGCCGCACCGGGCGGTGGTCCGGCAGCCGCACGGTCCTCGCCAGGGGCATCGGCCGGCCCGTGCAGCGTGAGCCGCCGCCACCGCCCGCCCGAGAGTCCGGCCCCTGGGCCCCGAGGCTCAGTCCGCCGAGCGGCCTCCGGGGGACGCCGCTGGGCGAGAGGAACGCGCCCTTGCTTTTACCGTGGCCCAGCGCGCGGGCGGCGGGATGGGCGACAGTGAGCGGGCCGCGCGGGCGCTGCGGCCCCGGGGCCGGCTGTGGCCGGCGCTGGTCGTGCTGGCTGCAGCTGCGGCCGGCTGCGCCCGGGCAGCCATGGACGAGTGCGCGGATGAGGGCGGGCGGGCGCAGCGCTGCATGCCTGAGTTCGTCAATGCCGCCTTCAACGTGACCGTGGTGGCCACCAACACGTGCGGGACTCCGCCCGAGGAGTACTGTGTGCAGACCGGGGTGACCGGCGTCACCAAGTCCTGTCACCTGTGCGACGCCGGGCAGCCCCACCTGCAGCACGGGGCAACCTTTCTGACCGACTACAACAACCAGGCCGACACCACCTGGTGGCAAAGTCAGACCATGCTGGCCGGGGTGCAGTACCCCACCTCCATCAACCTCACGCTGCACCTGGGTAAGCGGTGACAGCCCTGTCCCCTAGTCCTCGCCAACAGCCCATCTCCCGGGCCGTCTTCACCCCTGGCCCAGCCCTAGCGGGGCCCGAACAACCGTGTGTTGGCTCTCTGCTCTCCAGTATGGGCCACACAGAAATTCTCCAACTTCTATACCTAACAGCCGTGAGGGCCTAGACACTTCACACCAGCATCTTCTGCTTCCCTATTCTTCCCAATTTAACTAGATTTTTGCTCCCTTGAATTTTCGCCATTTCAGCTGTTTCTGTCCCTCTTTAATGAGGCAATAATCAGAAATCCCCATTCTCGATTTTCTCTGTTTTAACAGGGCCATCACCATGCCTTCTTGCTTGAATCAGAGACAAGCAGGTCCACCTTAAGCACTTTTACCTTGTTTAAATATCTGTTTCTCCAGGGTTGAGGGTGATTGTTGTTTCCTCTGTTGAATAAGCTAGAGAGTAAAGGGTCTAAGTTAAGGGAATTTGAGGGGAACTGTTGCCTTCCCCTGTCGCTTTGCCTCTGTGTAATTAACGTAGTAATTCACCGTTATTGTTCTTTAGGGTTGTTCAGACTTAATGAAGGGCAGCAAAGCTATTCACTGCTAATCCTGGTTCAGCGAAAACAAAAGGAAGTGTCTGCACTCACTCTAATTGCTGGGCACAGTTTTGTCCCCGGGTGAAAAGGCTCTCCTTACTGTCTTTCCTTTTACTTTGATTCAAATCAAGTGTAGATACACGTACAGTGACCTTTTAGAGATTAAGAAAGGAGTATATGGAAAACACTGCTGGGTGGTGGATGAATGGACATATTTATCCTACGGTATCAGAAAGCGTATTTGATTTAGGTGAATTTTTCTTCATCATGGAAATATACAAGCAAGCAAAGTGATTCATTATTGTGTTTAACAGAGCAGCATGTGTGAGAAACTAGCATTTGATTTGTAGAGCTTCAATCCCCACTGCATTGATAGACTTGATTTTGCTGGTAATAATGAACTTCCAGTGAGCGCAGAGCACCCAAGCTATTCTTCTGCTAAAGCAGGATAATTCTACAAGGCTAATAACGTTGTTTGGGGGACTTTAAACGGAACATTTCATAAGCAAATGGTTCTATTGGTCATGGTTTTATTTTTCTTTCCACTGCTTTCTGGTACACTAAACTTTATGTGTCAAGATTCCAGAGAAAGTACAGGATTTACAAGAAGTACTTTGAAAAGTACAGTTAAATCACTGTGTATGGAGTTGTTTTAGAAAAGCAGTATTTAGCATCTTTGTAGTTAATACCATTTTATTTGTAGACATCATTAGAAGATGAAACTTTGAAAACAAGTTCATAAAGTGAAACTCTGAGGCACCTGTTTTCAGAGGTGAATGAAGTAAACTGTACTGAGTTCAGTTTTTCAGAGTTACTGGAAATGTATAGAACTAGCAAAGGAACAGGTGTTTTCCTACAGACATGCAAGAGACCCTACCTAGTATCTCCTAAGAATTTTGGGGGTGCTCTTCAGCTATTTTCTCCTAAGTGTTATATTTTTAACTTGGCCGTTGTATTTTTGAAATTTATATCCAACTATTTTTGTTTAAATTTTGACTTATTAAAGTTGCTGTATTAAATTTTGAATGCCCATGAAGCCTTGTTGTTTCCCTATTTTTAAATATTTAAAGTTTCAGAGTAAAGGCTTTGCCTTGGTGTCTCAAAGTGCCTGAGATACATCTGAAAATTTCTAATCAAGAATCTCCTATGTAGGTAAAGGTGGGGCTGTCAATCTTGGCCCTCTGAGTTTTCAGCTGTGGGCACTATGTAGTAAAAGGTTATTTCAGATACTGTAGAGGCGGTAGATTACTCAGTGATTACTTCTCTGTTACAAAGATAATGTAGTAGGTAAGTCAGTATCAGTCAAGTGAGGTGGCTACTACTGGGAGGCAGATATATTAACTTTGGGTCATGGTGATTGAAAGGTCAAAAGAGATCTTGGATTTCACCTGTCAGCCCTCTATCATGACTTTTTACTCTAAAATAATGTATACTTGCCCGTTTTCCTAAAAAATTCTTTCAGTTTTTGGTAATATTTTTGGTATTCATAATATTTCTGGAATATTTTGAATTCAAAGTATTTTTGAAGTTCATAAAACTATGGGCTTAAAAATTATTTAAAATTAAAAATATTTTAATACATTGAGTGTTCTGATTAACTGTAAAAACATTTACTTTAAACTTTTTAGGTAGACAATTTCTTAAAACTTGCTAGTTGTCCTTGGATCATAAATGATGTCTTGGAGGAAACTGTTGTAGAGAACATGGGGGAGGGGAGGGAGATTGGTGTGTAATGGGGTTAATGTCTTAATGTTTCAATCTCTGTCTCTTCTCTGCCCACCCTGCCCACTCCTGCTTTTTTTCATGACAAAGATGTATATGTATATGTGCCTGTTAGGATCTATATGATTTATAGCAAATAGGCAGGGCTTTATGTATCACTCTCTGTTTTGATGTTCAGCATATTCTCTCCCTAATTCCAGTTACTCCATGGGCTCTACCTATTTCCCATGAATTCAAGTACCATGACTGTTTGTGCATCTACTAAAACTCCCACCCCGTTCAAATTTCACATACCCTTAAACAAGCGATGCATATTGCCCTTACAGAGCATGTGAAACTTGAAGTGAGCAGTGTGAAAGAATTAGGTCTAGCCACCACATTCCTAAGCCCTCCTTCTGATGTTGAACTTTAAATACAGTGAAATAGGCAAAATGAGATCACACTTTAAGTAGTCACAAGAAAAATATGTATTTGGCACTGATCATAACTCATTTTTTATTGTAAAAATAAAACATGATATGGTTAATTAAATCTCATCTTTAGTTGCTAAGTTGCCCTAGAGACCACTGTTCACAATTCCTTATGTAATCTTTCACAAACTTTTAATGCATATGCATGTATGTATAAAATTGCCTTTTTGTTTAAACTACCTTTTATGGGGCAGGGTGAGGCATGTACAGTTGGTATGTACAGATTAGATCATTGTACCATTATCACTTGTACAAAAGCCAGGAAAACCAGCATTGGTTCTGAAAGCAGCCATGTCCTAAGTACCATATACAGTAATGCAGGGTGCAGGGTACAGTGTATCCTCAGATAAAATCAGTTAAAGTTGCTGTGGGAACCAGAATTGCATTTTCTGCCTGTTGTGGAGAGAATCTCAGTCAGCCGCCCTTTTCTAAAAAAAGGGCTTTCTTATTTCGCCCTCAACTTCTGGATCTTCTTCTGGCTTAATTTTTGTATGGGTTGTTCAAATGCTATTTAAAAGTTTGGCTTTTGTTTTATAATAAGTCATAATAAGTTTTATTAGTATCAGTGGGGTAGTTGATTGCAATGTAGCTAAGGATTTGCCTTCTGTTAAACAGCCCTTTTAATTAACTTGATAGTCATTGTGGATGGAAACTTGGCAGACTGGGTCTCCATCCTGGAGGAAGGTAGCTTTTCCCTCTTTGCTTGTAAAAGCAACTCAGTCAAAGTTTATGGAACTCCTAAAATTTACACCAAAACCAGATTTGTTTCCAAGCTTCTTATGAGCTGTAGGAACAAATAGTGATTAAGTGGTGCTTTTTAAAGCTATATTTAAATATCTTCCTTGTGTATCTAAATCAGAATAATTGCTATGTAAGGATAATACATTTTATTTTGTTTGATCCTCTTTAATCTATATTTAACGTGAAACAAACAGCAATTTTTTTCCCCTGGAAAATCTTCACAAGGTAGGTTCTGACTGTCAGGGAATGGTTCGCTCTGGTGACTTCACTGTGGTATTTGTGTACCCTGAGGGGACACTATTTTAGTTTGTCTCTCAAAGTCCTGATTTACATTTTGCAGGTTTCAACTTGAGAAGTTAAGGAGCTATTCTCTAATGGCACAGTTTTACAAAGTTGCTGTTTTCTTCTACAATTCACTGCTTTTTCTGTAAATACCTTCCCCTTGTTTCTAAAGCATTCAGAAAAAGAATGTACACATAAGGAGAGAAGTTGGAACTGTAAGACACCTCTCCATTATTTTATCATTGGCCACATTGATGAGAGAGATAAAGTGACTAATTTAATTCTAAATCCTTTTAGGAAGTTTTGTTATGCACTCCTTCCCCCTATGTAACATTCTCATATTACTGCCAAATGTTCTGCAAATGTTTTTAAATACCTACTAAATGCATAGCTCAGTACTTAAAAGAAAGGTGTAGAAGATTGAAGGTCCTGTCTTCAGAAGCCTGTACTCTTTAGATGGAATTTTCATACTCAGTTGTCAATAAGAAATCAAGAGTGCTTTAAAATATTTTACAGTTTATAAAGCCTCCAGTTTATCACTATTTAGATTTTCACAACTCTTTGAAAACAAAAGAATCCTGAGGTGGTGATTGGCCAAAAGTCATGATGGAGGTAGGTTTTTTTTGACTCCTTGATTAATGCACTCACTAGCCAGCCCCTCAACTCTTAGTTCCTCTAACACCTGTCTCAGCAGAATGACTAGTTTATTCCAGGGCAACTTTAAAATACAAGTTCATGGAAATACTGAAAGATACCAGACTCCCTTGGTTTTCCTCCTTTTCCTTCTGTTCTTTTTACTTATATTTCTGGATTTCATTCTTTTTCATGCCATTCACTGTCTCTGAATGAATGAACTCTAATCTCAAGGCATTTACTGTTTGCAAACTGTTAAATTCTCAGTTTGAGTCTCCGGGCCAGCTCTTCTTCCAGACCTTCTTCCAGACTTGTTGGACATGGTCAGTTTGGGATATCTAGAGGTCATGTGCAAAACTAAATTGATTCCTCATTGTCTTACTCCAGTCAAAGTTGTGTCTCAGTGAAGGGCACTACTGTTAAGCCCTGAGGCTCTCGACCAATGTTTTGCCAAGTCTCCCATGAAAGAAAACCATGCTGTTTGGTGAGCAGATAGGATGCGTTGCTGGGAGGTGGGTCAGTTCTAGATAGCTGTAACTTCATCCCTTTTTTCCCCACCC